TTACTATTATTAGATCCGTTGATTTTCGACTTCTAAATCTCGGCCGCAATAAGCTCATCAATGTATGATATGATCAAGTATAGGAATGACGAGGTTGACCGCTGCAAGCCGTGGAGCAGCGCATAATCTGGCCAGTCTGCCATCAAAAGTTAACTTGAACTTCTCGAGTAAAGTTGTCCGACTCTGCCCATAAGCAAGCTGCTTCTTTGAGATTAGTTTGCCTAGCCTTGCTGCGGCTGCACTAGCGTTGCCTGCTCCTTCGTCTATTTTGAAAACTAACCATCTTTCTGTTCTGCTGTGACATGTGAATTATTTGCTTTGTAACGTTCAGTATTGAATAAAGAGAAATTTATTCTAATGCTAGTTAGAGGATATGACTTATACCGTCATTATAAAGAACCGCACACCATTCTCCTTTAAACAAATTGGACTTCAGCTCCATTCAATTTTTTTCCTGAGATTTATAATTTATCCTTCACTATTACCTATGAATTAATTAATGTGATTTTAATGAGTTGAATAAAAAATTCAAAGAAAATTTTCGGACTGAAAATAGAATTCTGTAACATATAAATTAAAACACGAGTGTTGGTAGTGCTAGGATGAAAAAATCACTAAATTTCGGAACACAGATACAATTAAATTCAAGGACTCGACTTCCATTCTAAACTAAACACCTTTGAAAAATATTCTGAACACTTTTGATCCAGTACTATTTCATCAGAAAGAATTAAAATTCGCCATTTAAAACAAACATTGTAGTAAAGATTTTGTGAACACGAAAAAACTACCGGCTACAACATAATTGAAACTGGTTATTCATTAGAGAAATAATTAATAATTCTTTTACGGAGAAGAACGAATATCATAATTTAGTTTTGTATATAAGTACTTATATAATTAGTCCCTTAGTTTTGTAAAAAAATTTCATCAACGCACAAATCGATGATCTCAAAGAAAATCCCGCGACCCGCAGCAGCAAATCCTTTAAGGAAAAGTTGGAGTCACTCCCTGTTGAACTAGAAGCTCCAGCGCATATGTTGCGATATTACTGATAATCATTTAAATATTCCTCATTTATGGCGACGCCGAAGTGTTATCATTAAACAAGGATTTCTTAAACGGCGCAAGTTTTAGGCACATGTACATATGTAGTCGTGACGACAACTTGTCGATTTGATTATGCTTATTTGTACTAGTATTAGAGTCTATACTGTCATGTTTTACGGCAAGCAAGTAGCTTGTGTTAATTAATCTTATTGCTTTTTAGACTCATACGGTAGATGTGGAGGCTTTAAAATATATATAGTTACTACCCTGTTTGCTTTATACTAGTATCACCAGTAATCATACCAGTAGTTTTTAAGTTATTTTATTCAGATGTGAACATCCTGCTTGAAACCGTTGCCTTTTCAAGAGAGAAGGAGCAGACATGAACGCAAGTCTGTGTACAAGATCAGTCCTCGTGCGGTCGTTGCTTCCGCCTCTTGACCCGCCGTAATCGCCCCCTCAATCATCAGCGTTCGCTCACCGAGTCTCCAGAAGCTGTAAAATTGTCTTCCGCATCGGCAGCTCATGAGCCTTTACTTCTTCCTGTTCGTGCTTTCTTTCCTGTGCGAACCCGACGAGTGAATTCCACTTTAAAAATCTTGACCTAATTCTATAAAAATTATATAAGGCATTTTTCGTTGCACTGAAAGTTAATCTTGTAAATATTTTAAGTGTTGAATGAAAAAAATGAATCAGAAAAACAAGGATTTTAAGTTCATTTTCGGTATCAGTTACACAGATGAAATTTTGAAAGCATAATTTATCAATTTAACCTAACTTATCTGCTGTTCAACTTATCCAATATTCTTCGAAAATTCGGTTATCTTTACTATGTTCACCGAAATCACGGGTTGCGATATGACGGTCTCTCATGCACCTTTTGATTGCTGCCTTGATCAATGTTTCTTTACATATTGAGACATATTCAAATTAATAAGAACTTAACAAAGTGCTTTCTACTTCTTAAATACTGTTTGGCTAACATATTTTCCAATGAAATGCTGGGTACTTAGCTAAAAAGGACGAGCATTGCTCTACTCATTTGCATGTACCCATATAGCCATTTAATTCAAGATAATCCCTAGAATACTTAGTCATACCACGATTTGGTTTCCTATTCCCGTTCGATAATGTAGACAAGAAATCAAAGATGAGTTTCAGTCAGATTTGATTATCTGCCTCATACATATCGGAAAATGCAGGTTCTTTAGTTTTTACAGTCATTTTTACAGTTATTTCCACAATAATATTGTCGGATGATAACGATAAAATAAAATGCATTTTTCAAATATTCATGCGCTCATTTTACATGGGCATTTCAGAGAAACAAAGGTTATGAAACCATTTGGAATCAACCAACATTCATATTTCGAACTAAGTGATTGACATTACATCGTATCCTTCATAGGAAGACCTTGAGAGGACATTAAACGTCTCGATGTTAAAAGGCTGTGATAATGTGTACCTAATTTATTAGCTAGTATATGGCGCTTATAAAATTTAGCGCTCCTGCATAACCATCGATTAATCAATATATTGAGGCCCTCTGATGATTTGTACATGACGATGATGACTTGAAATATAAAAAATGATCGTGGGCACATCAGTAACCTAGTAATATTTTTTAATAACAAATGGGAAGTAGGATCATTTAATCAGTTTATATTTTTTGCGGTATTCTCGCAAATTGTAATTGTAAACCAATTACTTTGAGTATAAAAACTTACATTATATCACAGCAATCACTGAAGACGTTTAAGAATGGAGCGATTAATGTATGGATACACATAATCTGCAGCATACTCATTAAAGCGTAGACTTTTTCAATCAATTAATAAATTCTGCAGCCTTCATCTCATTTATGAGGTGTCTAACATACAAGGGTCCAAATTTTATATATAATACCCTCTTAACCATAAATATGAGTCTTCCACATAACTGAGAGCAGAATCATTGATAAGTGTTGGAGGAAATCGAGGCCTGCGATGTAGCGACACCAGCACCCTAGGGCGAGGCACTGAAATGAGCTGCCGCCGTTTTCCGATATTTAGTGTCAATTCTGCTCTGCTTGACTTGTCCTCAGAAAATTCCCCCTCACTCATGTTTTCGCTTTTCACTGCTTTTCGTTTCCTCCTTTGAAAAAATTCCGCCCGTTATCTATCAAAGTCTGCCCTTGGGTCGGGGACTCGTTCGCTCCTGGGGCTGGATAGATTTATGCGCCACGAAAAAATTGTTCATGGCACATTAAATTCACTTATTTTATGACGTTGCAAGAATTTGATTCGGTGAAATATCTTGTTTCTGGTAAGTCACGGCGGTGAGGAATTTTGTGTTTATTCAATTCGAAGCCTTCGGGTTTCATGCCAACAAAGTAAGTATCTAATATTTTACTTGTACGATAAATTTCTACCATTGTAGGTGAAGTTTTAAATAAAATCTCAAAATGTCCAATTCCTCAAAGAACAAAAGGAGACAATGCAGAAAACAAGCATCGTAATAGATACTTGTGAATTATGAGAACGATCTACGCAAAAAATGATAGCATATATTTAATACAATAAACGATGAAAATCAAAGAAAGTGCTACACCGAGGTTCATAAAGCACGCGTATCAGCACACTGCGGCCTCCAGAAGAAGATCAAAGTAAAGCTGCTGAGCGTCGCACCACACCACAAGCATGGCGGCAACAACAGCTCGCGCGTACACTTTGGGTTTATTTGGCGTCGCTTGTTGGGTGATAATGGCGTATTTATCAGGAGCGTAAAGTAGAGGCCAGTTGTAATCTGAGGGCCGAGCCAGAAGCAATATCCCGGCCATGATATATAAGGCGGCGGTGGTCAGCTCGAGCACTGGGGTGCACGCCATTGAATTAGAGCAGCTGAGAGCGCTCTAAAGGCCCACTCAAATAACTCACGCTTGCTTTAGGCCGTCTTATGGCCTCAGCTCCCAGCCGTCCGTGCCTCTTTAAAATACCATCATTGCGACGCATTTTACGAATACCGTGAATGTGATCGTAGAGCGAGTAATTCAGGCTGAGGCTGCTTGATGTGTTTTTATTAATTAAGATTAAAAAGGGGAATTTTGAAATGAATAAATTTAAAATTTTCGATATGGTTTTATGATAAAATGAAGCGTGAAATCTCTATTCGTTGAAATTTTATTGTATAAATTCAGATTTAAAAAGCTATACAGAGAAGAATATTTTTATATATTTGTTTTAAAGGTGAAGTGCAAAAAAATCATTTCTTGAGGACTTCGATCCGCTATTCCTTTGTAAACAGTGTTCTATGTAAACTATCATATGGGTGCCAAACAGTTTAATCGTTTTAGAGTATTGATAATATTACGTTCATGACTCATACGTGGACCAATATAGCCAGCAGACAAAGAAGAAAAACATTTCTTCACTAAAGGATAAATCTAAATCATAGGACAGAAAATTATTCAAGCGTTTTCAAGACGGTTGCCACCTTTTTCATGATGTCTGCCATGAAAATTAGTCATTGTAATACAGATTAGTATTAGAAAGGCATTTGGTAGTAATTCAAACAGGAAATTAATTCAAAAATATATGAAAAATTCCTTAGATTAGTAGTGAAGATATCTGTGCTCAGTAGGCGACTTCTTCATTCACATATTGTAGTGGATTTTTTTTAAATCCTAAACCTGTTACTAATTGTCAAGACGTTTTGAAACATAAGATAGTTCTTAATAAAGCAAATTATTAGCTTTATTCATTCAGATTTTTGCTATTGCCTAGAGGTCAAAGGATAATTTCATGTTACTCACAATCATAACCTATGAAAAATGTGTCAATAAACTAAATTATTCAAATTAGGAGCATTTCATTGAATAGGATCTTGGATTGTGTTATTATACATTATTATTATTTTGTACGTATAACACTTCATTAATTCATAGGAATACGAAAGTACGAAAACTATCTTACCTGCAGGGAGCTACTGACGAGGTCCGACTAAGTGATCGTAATAACCGGCCCTGGGAGACTCGGTCGTGTCGACGGATGACGCGTGGTCGCGGCCTCCAAGTTTCCGAACTATCGAACACCTCCTGATGCTGCCAGTGCTGAAATCGGCTGAAGGCTCATGAAGACTTGCTTTACGCACACAAGGCAAGGCTTAGCCTTTAAAGTCTTTTCGTAAACGAACGCACCAAAATTTTAATTTTAAGTCTAGAGATATTAGCGGTTTTCAGCCACTTTTTTAATTATAACTATTTAGAGTCATAAATACAAAAGGTCGCCTTAGTACGTTCAATAAGAATGTCAACAGAATCGATGAAAATTAAGTATCATCGTAAGATTTTTTGCAATTCATCATTATTGATCACTCAGAATCATTTTTGTTTTTTCGGCAGTTTGAATAATATTAGACACTCCATGACAGACTACACAAGATGAGTAATACGGCTCTCCGATTAATAAGTTGCTCGAATGAGAGGAAAATCTCTCTGTGCAAATTAGTTCATTAGGGAATTACTTTGGCCCGCAATACAATGATGGTGCCTGGAAAAATTAATAAACAATTATGAATTACTATTAAACATTATTCTACAATTTAGCCGTAACTCACAAAAAACATAGGCAACCCGACCAATTAGTACGCTTGCACAACGGGCTAAACAGTGGATTGACTCGACACTCAACATGTATTACTTTATATTTAACAAAAAAATAAATTCTTGTAGCGCCCGTTGTAAAAATCTCACTTATGGAAAGTGGTGTATGTAATAACAATTATTGGTGATGATGAAATTGCCCTATACTCGTGTATCTCTAATTTCTGTATTCAAGCTTTTGCATGAGAGGAATATGTTCTTAAAAATGGTATGAAAAATTAATAATCTAAACCCTTCGTTTGCCAATTTGTAAATAATTTTCTTAATTGCTTACTATGATTAACGTTTACTGTAAAATTTCAATTCAAGTATATTTTACCGAGCGTTTGTGCTTTTACGCATTTTATTTTACACAAGAGGTATTTTATAAATTTTTCATTGTATTGGGATTCTTGTAATGTTCATACTTGATCAACGGTGTTTTTTTAAATAACTGCGCTATAGTCAATTAGATTTGAGTGACGCCTATACATATATCTCTCCGCTATACAAAAAAATAGTACAATGCTATCTGGAAGTACATTTTTCTTGTTGGACTTCCTAAAAAAGTTTAATATTTTAATAAGTCACCAGCAAGTTCGTATTTAATTCTGCTGATGATGTATATAGACAGACGACTTGAATACAAAGCAGACTGCTGTGGCGTTGACGTTACACGTTGAGTTAAGTTCTGGACACGTGATAGGGAAACGGACGCTCGCGTAATAATGGTAGGTTCATATATAGAGATGCACTGGAGGGCAAATGCAGCTGCTAATGGCACAGCGTGTCAAGTAGCCCTCGACTGGCACGACTAGATCGTATAGTGAAGGCCCTGCTCTGCTACCTATACTTCCTACTCACGCTTCAGCACTGCATGATCACGACGCTATACTTGCTCTGTGCAATCGACTTCGCCTCAAAGAACACCCAATACTACTTTTTAATGGACTATGCGCAGCTTCTTTTGTCTGGTTCATTATGCTAGAAACATTTTATGTTTTGGTTCACATTTTTTGACCGCGAAAAGATCGTACCAGATTTGCTTTGCATGGTTTAAGATGACATAGTTTAAACTCGAAATCTGGTAAAACCCGGACAAGTAATATTTCAGATGAACATCATTACAACCCCGTGATGGACAACTGTAAGAGAAAGATGTTTAAAAAATTTTTATTCTGAATGTTTACAAATAAATTCACACCTTGCAAAATTTGAGACCAAGAAAGAAACCAGCATTGGCCATGTGCTAGGTAATTTTAAATAACAAAACTAATTTCGTAAAAAATTGCACACGCTATCAAACAGTAACACCTGAATACAGACACTTCCGACCACACACATGCTCTGCTCTAAAATTTACTGGTGCAATAGCCGCCGGCTGGACAAATGTCATTGCATAGCCGTGAAAAAAATGTCCCTCGTCTAATGACCTCGCCATGAGCTCGTTTGTTGTGTCAAGTTTCTGGTAATGTGCTTCAGTGCCTTATTGATTGCTGGAATCTATTGATTCACACACTCTGCCTGCATTCCATATTATATTAAATTCACCACATGGGAATTTAATATTTAATGCAATTATATATGTAATATTTAATATATTTATATTATTATATATTAATATTAATATATAATAATATAATTTTCTAGCTTCAGAAGAAGGTAGCTGTTAATTCCACTTATTAGATATTCCACTTATTAAGTGCACAACATATATGATGAGAGTAAAGCTCAGAATTATAATCGGTTATCAGTATTGTTTTTTATTAGGCTCTAAGTAATGAAGTGGCATAACTCTGTTATAATGACTTTTCTCATTTGTGTGTGAGGTTTGGTTTGTAAAAAATTGACGTATTTTCCTACCAACATGATTGTTGGCTTGGCTTGGCTGGGGTTTGATATACATCAAGATGCATGCTAGATGCAGGTAAAAAAATTCTTTTAGCTACCCTGTTTTTCATATTGATCGTCTGAATAAGAACTAAGGAACTTCAAATGGTTGGAAATTTGGAAATGAGCCTACTAGTTATTAATTGAATAATACCAATATTTTTAACAAAAGTATTCATCTGAAGGAATGATGTGTCCTCTTTCTGTAATCCTACATATTACATTTGGAGTGAGAAGAAACGAGATGTCTGCTGTCATAATACATGTTATCTTAATAAATCTCACTTTCATTTATTTCTATGTGCGAATATAGACTAAAAATATTTGATTTCACTGTCATCGTTCAAATTTAAGAGCTGAAGTGCAACTCTCAGACTACATTCGCACAAGGCTTGGCAACCAAAAATATCGAAATATATCCATATATTCGACTCAGAAATATTTAATTTTCACCACTTTACTCAGATATGTGACATAAATGCAAAAGTTTCATTAATCTCATATTTCACTCGAATGCTTCACAGGGCAGCAATAATTTAACATTTCTAACATTGAAATTTAGCCTTGAAGAGTTACGTGTACACCAACGTCAGGCCATTTTATCGATGTTAGGATTTATTTCACTGTGGATACGCAGGATCTGATTTCATTTTTCGACTAGTCTAGGAATATTCGTGAAATTCAAATTCACTAAAACTATACTGGAATCCATTGTAACATGTTGATCTTGCGTCCGTCTCTATTCCGTGTTTTAGCCTCAAAAATTATGCTTCTTTCTTTACAGAATTTCGCGCTATATTCCGGAAGGTTTTTTTTTATAGAGGTTACGTACGAAATTTTTTAAGCGCGTCGGCAAATTCGGCAATAACAAGCCGTGCTGCTGCTAATTAGGCTCGCTGCTGTAGGCGTTTTTAAGTCAACGCCCGCCGGCATGACGATGTACAACGACGCCTATAAGTCTGGCTTGCCCACAATTTTCGGTTTCGAAGAATCTCAGAGATACTTTGGTATACCCGAAGTTCCAATCCATATAACCGGTCTAGTACAATTATTGCACTTAAGACAGCCTGTTCGAGTTATTTTCAAAAAGGAAAAACGAGTTTTGTGAATTATGTGCGATTTTCATACGTTTTCAACCTCAAGAAGGAAACTTTAGGCAATATGATCAATGATATCAAAGTATGTTAATGGCAGCAGCCGTAGATTCTCGAGTCAAACGTCAGAAAAATTATTTATTACACACAAAGAATTTTTGCCACAAAATCTTATGTCCAATCCTTGAGAACTCGAACTTACTCGAATACACTTGTTCATTCTCAATACAATGAAGAAGCTATTTCATGCGATTTGGAGGGCAGACTATAATGCATGGTTCGAGCCTTCATTTTTTTATAAATGCCGCAATGTCTTTCAATTATTTATAAATTGTTGAGTTATAAATGGTTAAAAATTTAAAATCAATCACTATGCACTTGTCCGCTTACCCAGCCATGATATTTGCTAAGTTATATATTTTTAAGATTTAGTTTAACGGCTTTAATAGATCTGTTACTGTGTCTCATCGGACGTCTTCAAAATATGCGCTCAAGATCATTTTTTCTAAGGACAAGAGATAAAACTTGCAGGCAAAGCCATGGGATCATTGAAGCTTTCCGTTCACGACAAATGCGATCAGAGACTTGATTATCAATTTTCCGTTCTCGGGGTATCTCATGAAGTCTCGAGGTAATGAGATTTGGTGAGCTTTCATTCGTCCACGCTGCAGCAGCTAACGCGCACTGCAGTCTAGGGCTTCAATACGGTAAAAAGAGGACGAAAATCTTTACATTATTGCGGCAAATGTTGTGTTGCTCAGGTTGCTTTTCTTGTGTGCCTTGCTTGAAAAGTTAATGTTTTTCCTGTTCTTATCAATGTAATACTTGATTACTTTCATCAAAATTTGACTCTGGGCTACCACTGTTTCGGTGCTAAATTTAATAATGGACTAAAAAAGAAAGATGTTATTATTTTAACTTGTACAGCAAATCTTAAAAGTGAAACAGATATACATTATATAATGGTTGTGCATAAACACATCCTTCTGGCTAGAAATGAGTAATTTGATTGTTATTGATTAACATTTTCTAAAAATTTCACTATCAATTGCCTGTTACTCGGACAAAATAGGATCAATTCAATTGCCTGTTACTCGGACAAAATAGGATTTTATTATTATCGATCATAAATTCATTGATTGTTCAAATTAAAATAAATAACTCCATCTTAAATAGCACTTCTCTGTGCGTGAGGCTAAGGTGCGCTAGCTTACATGGAGGAGCAAACAAGGCACATACATCGCAGCAGGGGCTGTAGTAAAAACTCCTCTAACTACAAATGAAACTAACATGCAATGCGCCTATGGCATTCCCCGCCGCCGCTTTCGCTCCAAGAGATAAAATTCGAATACAGAACAGCCTGAGGCCCTGGTTTGGCTGTCCATTTCCTCCCGTGAATTATA